CCCGGTTTGCGGGCGGGGAGCCACAGGCAGGGGGTGGCAGATGCAGCTGAGCCATTAGGGGGTGCTGCCGAGCTCTGAAACCTTGGCATTCCCTTGCCCTCACAGGCTGGAGCTGTGACAGAGCTGGGCTGGGGCCCCTAAAAAAAATTTGGAAAATTAATGTTTCTCTACCCTTGGTTCCTGTCAAAAATGACAGGAACCAAGGGCAGTAGGACCCAGGGGAAGTCCAGCGGGCTCCAACAACAGTGGGGCCTGCTGGGCCCCGCCCCCCAGCCCGGTTTCTGGGCTGGGAGCACATGGTTGCCCCGGCGGGGGAAACTCAGTAAGTGGGGGTCAGGGGGGGACCCTGAGCAAGGAAGGAGTGCGACAGGGGTGGGGGGAAGCGGCCCCTCCCTGCCCCATGCCCGGTGCCCCACGCTGCAGCTGCTTGCAGCCCACATGGGGCTGCCTGTGCCCGCTCTAGACACCCCCATGCGGGCTGTGAGTGCCTGCAGCGTGGGGCGGAGGAGGGGCCACTTCCCCGCCGCACTCAGCTTTTCCCCTCGCCCGCCCCATGCCCGGCACCCTGTGCTGCAGGCTGTCCGGAGCAGGCACAGGCAGCCCCAGTCAGGCTGCAAGGGGCTGCAGCATGGGGTGGGGAGGGGCTACTTCCCCCACACTCAGCACCACCTTGTAACCCGGCCCCAATGCTAGGCTGGCAGTGGGGCGGGTTACAAGCTGGTGCTGAGTGCGGGGGAAAAGTGACCCCTTGCTTGCCCCATGCCCAGTGCCTCATACTGCAGCCATCTGCAGCCCGCATGAGGCTGCCTGTGCCTGCTCCAGACAGCACCGCACAGGCTGCGAGCGCCTGCAGCAGGGAGTACCGGCCATGGGGCAGGCAAGGGGCCACTTTTTCCCACGCTCAGTAACAGCTTCTTCCCTGCTGGCGAGCAGGAGGTCGGGGCTGTGCGCTGCCCCCCGCCTGTACTGTAGGGCTGGGGTGCACTGGATGTGAGCGGGCAGGGAGCCAGTGGGAGCACAGGGCCCGCACCAGTGTCCCAGGGCCGGTGCCGGTGGGACCCAGAGCAGGGTGGCAGGAGCATGGGGTCCCAGCTGGCAGGGGCTCTGTGGAGCTGAGCCAGCTCCCCCCTTCCTGCTGGTGCAGCCCAGCCCGGCTCCACGGACCCCTGCTAGCCTGCGCCCCAGTCTGGGCCCCACCGGTGCTGGCCCTGGGACATAAGACATTGGTCCCAAGATGGTGACCAGGGGGTGGGGCACTTGTCAAGGGGTGGGGCTGTCCATGCAGCCTTCAACAGCCTGCCATAACTGGGTAAGTGGCCCTCCGCCCAAAATAATTGCCCTCCCCTGCCTCAGACCAAGCCATCTGTGCACTCGGTCATGGGTGGGACAGGGAATGACCCAGCATGCCTGGCAGAGGCTGCCCCACTTGGACCACACCCTGGCCTTCCCCCAGGGTGAGCTGGGGAGGGCCTGGCATGGTAGCATTGGAGTAGCCTTCCAGGTCCAGGCCACAGTGGCATGAATAGTGGGAGGCGCAGGGAGCCTTTTGTCCTGCTCAGGCCCTGCCGCTGCAGGAGGAGCAGGTAGACCCCCTGTGGGGCCACTGTGATGGGGAGCCCCCATCTGACCCCTGTGGGGGAGCCTGGCACCTCCCTTCCTCCTTCCCCGTGGTGGCAGGCTCTGGGCACAGGACATGTCCACATTTCCAGCCCCTGCCTATGGCAGTGAGGGGAAGCTGTGGCTCTGCAGCTGGGCAGCATCCCCCTACTGGCTCAATCACAAATGCCACCCCTTGCCCACAGCTCCCCACCAGCAGCCTGGAGCCCAGGCAGCGCTGGGCACATAGTCAAGCCATATGTGGTCAGAGTCAGAGCTGTTCTTGACGGAGGTCACTAAATGGAAAGGGATATAAATACAATTATCATTTAACTGTTTACATCCCTACTAGTTCCTCAGAACTGTCCAGAGGAGCAGGGAACAGATACAGATCATGTTTCTGTTTTCCTCGGAATGGCTTATTCTGATCCCATTGTTCTCCCTTTACGATAGGATCTGCTTTCCCAATGGCTGATTTTTATAATGTAGCCAGAGCAGCTTAGGTTAACTACCTGGCTGTTGTGTAATGTCATGTGAAAACAAATTCTTGGAGGGTGTGATTTTTTTTTGGTTTGGTTTTTGGGGTTTTTTTGTTTTGCTGGTGTAAGACCTTCCGCATTTCTTTCCTATTTTGGGACCTGGCAGAAGTTCAAGTAGTGATGCAAGAAACAGTGTACCTCCATCAAAACTTGTATTGCATGTGTTGGATTTTATACAAATGTCTGATCAAAAGCTTCACAAATTCAGTTTTTTAAAATGCCAATACTTGTGCTATCTGACTGTGCCACAGGCAAGAAGAGAATCTCTTTATGTTGGAATACCAAACTTTTTTTTAGAACTGCATCTTTACTTCATCCTCTGAAGATTTATCACAAATTGCCATGAGACCTGTATTCAGCTTTTAATGCTTTGACCTAGCATCTTTTTGAATCCTGGTATGTCTTCTCCCTGTTGGACAGCTTTCCTCATTATCAGTCTCCACCTGCAAGTGTAAGAGCTTGGAGTATTATCTATTGAAGAATAATGTAGCACACTTCATAGTTATATGGTGATTCTTCAAACACATCAGTCTTTTTCCAGTACTTAATGTAGTTTTTTACAGAACCCAAGAAATTATATGCTCCCTTGTGCAACAACATCTTGTCCAGAAAGTTCTGGTATACCTTAGATATACATAAAACCATCAAGATCTGTATCATTCAGCTAAATGTGTGCTCTGTTTTCCACTATCTCAAGGAAATGGCATCAAAACCTACTATTTTAAGATTCTCTAGACAGAGCATCCAAAAAGCATAGAAAATGTTGTCCACAGAAAATGTCAACTTATAACAGCTAACTTTATAAAAGGGTGTGTGCATCGTGGTGCTTCTGCTAGTAACAGCACAGCCAATGCAAGCAGAACCTACAGTATACCATAGGAAGACATCCCAGTGGCATTTGCAGTAGGCTCTGCCCTAGCATGAGGCAGGGAGAAGCATATAATTAGATGTGCATGCTATCTTCAGGGAACTTTAGATAAGTGGAATTTCCTTCCCTTCATGCCTCTTTGTCTTTCAAGTCTTTTCCATCTGATTTTGAATGTTTGCAATTCACCACACTGTCCTTCCCTACTACTGGCTGGAGTTCCAAAGGGCTCTAGTGTGATTGAGTCATCCTCTCTGATTCCCTCCATGCTTTTGTCTATGTGCTACCTGTATGGTACTGGGCAGGGGTAAATCAGTGGACACTAGCAAATAATTAAGAGATCAGCTCTGATTCTCACAGCATTGTAGTACCTGAACCTCAGACTCTTCCTGCTAAGTAGAAAACTAATAATTGTTAAGAAGTGTGGCTGTTAGAATTGAGCATTGAGATGTGTCATCCTGCAGAGACCTATGGCTCTGAGCAAAGTGGAGGAAACAATATGGAAATCTACAGTGGTGGTTCTGGATCTGTGATGGGATTGTAAAGTCATACTTGTTCTGTCTCTATACTTCCACCTAGCCTCTGAATTTATTAACAGGAGAGTTTTTGCTCATGATGATGCTGGGTGGCACATCATCAGTACCTATGAAATGGCCTCTGTATTGTCTGGTCAGAGAAGGTGTCTAATGCTCATATATTCAGGTTTATGGGCCTCTTCAAAATGTTGTGAGGATATTCTTTTCCAATTGCCACATCTGAATAGGGGACTTCAGAATGCCAGTAGGAAACCCAGATGTATCTTTTGATGCCATGTAGCTATACACTGCTATTCTGGACAGCACCAAGAAGAAGTTTAGTTTTGCACTGTGGAGGTGCACAGTGATATCCTGTTCTTATCTGGAAGGGCCTACGGATTAGTAGGTAACTGAACATTAGTGGGACTGACCCTCATAATTGTAATCTGTTATGTGAGGGCAAAGGGGGAACCTTCCCCCAGGGTAGCAAAGGAGGGTGCAGCAGCTGTCTGCTGAGATGAAGCAGCCAGGTACAAGGATCATAGGCGAAGCTGTCTTGTCAGCCTGAAAGAATCCCTAAGCACACATCAGTGCCATCTTAAATCTTGAGCTGGCAGCTTTCAGGTCCTCAGCAATAGCACAGTTTGATATGATTTGTACTACACAGCCTCCAAGCTGTTCTAGGTACACTTAAATTTTCTTTCCCATTTCTCAACTTCAAGTGTTATGTCTGATGTGGAGGGAAGTAGTACAGGTACCTGTGATGCAGCAGATACGCTACTCCTTGTAAGTGAGTTCTCCATAGGTTGGAGAGAAGCCAGGTTTCTCCAGCATCTCTGCTACCTCAGTTACAAGAATTCCTTGTGCATGTTTGTTTTCTCCTTCCTCTCCCTGTGTTGCTTCCAAAGTACCCACTAATGCTAGTTTCTTTCAGCTGTATCAATGTTTCATTAGCTTTGCAAACGTATCTTCACTAGAGATCCTCTTTTGCTGCCTCTTAGCTGTCATCTATGCAAATACCACCAATCGTAGTTTGCTTAAAGCCACACACCCTGCAGATGTGTCTACAGCACAAACAGAACCATGGAAATTCCTTTAAGTTGTTCCCTGTAGCCTTGCTATAGGCAGTAGACCCTATAAACCATTTAGCCTGCTGTTTAATTTGCTGGTACAAATGTGTGCTGCTGCTGCCATGAGTTTACGGGGCCTGTGGCCCTATGGCTACTTTGGGCTGGATGATCCCTGGGAGTGGAGGATTCAGGTTGATCCAAAAGGGTAAGTAGCATGCTAAAAATTCTTTATGAACTCTTGGTCTGGCTGGTATCTCCCTATGGAGGGTAACTGAAACTCAGAGAAAGCGAATGCTGGTGGAAGCAGGAGGCTACTTGCTGCTTGTCTGTTTTAAGTACATTTTCCAGATGAACCAATGATAGGCATGAGTGTCCTACAACACTCGCCCCCCCCCCCCCCCCCCCCCCCGGAACATGATGGAATGGCTTTAAGAAGTAGTCCTCTAACATTTCTGCATGCTCATCCAGGAGATGCACAACTTTCATGCAGGTGAAGAAGACACTGCTGACAGACCTTTGTAGTGATGGCGAAAGGCTGGCAACAGTGTTTGGCCTGTATATAATGGGGGGGGCTAAAGATGTGCAGCAGTAACAGCAGTCTTGTGGACTGAGCCATCTTATCCAGCATACAGCTAAGTATGGATAAGTATCTGTATGATAGCTGCCTGGTCACATGTGTGACCTTATCACAATTTAACATTTTACAAACTGGACTGTCAGGTATCAACTATGGAGACCTTCAATGAAAGGATATTTCTTACTGATCTCCCAGTGACAGAAAGGACTAGTATGGGCATTTCAACAGCCACTTTCATTCTGTTGGCTAAAAGTTCTTTAAATCCTGTAGACAAGAGAGTAGAAACATTTATTCTGGTTTTCTGAAAAATTCTTTTTTTCCGAGTTTGTGTTCTCTAATCCAGTATCTCTTGTCTGCAGTGATCTTTAGCCAATATGAGCCTTGTTATGTATGGTTCCTTCTTCAAATTTAGGTTGCAGTCAGGTTTTGGTTCATAACTACGATGTGTGTAAGCTTGCTGACATTTTTGCTCCACTGATCCGAATACTTTATTTTATGGATGCTGTCCTAAATGGTAAGCTCTTCCTGTACCCAGCCACATCCTCCCCCATCAGACCTTTATAGCTTTATGCATACTGAAAGCCTGTTAATAGATCTGTGGAGTTTGTTCCTCAGAGAGAAAATTTGGTAAGTTGAAATAAATGTTTGTAGTCTTTAAATAGGAAACTTTTCTTACACATCCTTAGAGTTATCTATGAAATTTCCCAATTTCTGTAAAAAGAACAGCTTGCACTAGTCTAGTCTAGTATTCTTAATGATTTGATTTCACTGCTCTTCTCGGAAACTGTTTCCAGTTGGTTTAATTGTAGCTTCAGCTATTTTGACTAGGCGGGGAAAGAGACTTGCTCAAGTCCACTTACTTAAATATGCTTTCTAACTTTAGTTGGAGGAAAGCCGGAATGTCCAAAAGCAGATGAAGATACTCCAGAAGAAACAAGCCCAGGTTGTGAAAGAGAAAGTCCACTTGCAGAGTGAGCATAGCAAAGCTATTCTTGCACGCAGCAAACTGGAATCTCTTTGCCGGGAACTTCAGCGTCATAACAAGACTTTAAAGGTTAGTTTATTTTTATAAATCAGGGCCATTCAATTCTTGGCCTGCAGGCTAAGTTAAGCTGCAGTCTCCAGGCTTCTCCTCCCTCCTGTTTTCTGCACTTGGCCCAGGGTGTGTAGCAGTGTGGTGCAGCGAGGTGCAGGGAACAGAGGGCAAGGCCAGAAGCTCTCAGTGCGGCAGAAGGAGGAGCACCTGTGTCATGCAACAGAGGGTCTCCTCATGGTGTGACAAAAAAACCAAAAAATATTTAGAACAAGGTAGTGAAGTGGTTCTGAACCTTCTCGGTGGACTCAAGGTGTCCCTTATTAGACTTGAGGCACCCCTCCATAACTTGTGAATTGAGAGGCTCCCCATTTCAAAACCAGCTTATTTATTACAATGCTTTCCCCCTTTACAGAGCCTGCTGTTATCTGTTTACCTCCTCACACCTTGAGGCATCCTTCAGAAGGATCTGGTAGCATGCCTAGGTGCCCTGGCACCCTGGTGGAAAATCACTAAATTAGTGAGTTGAAGATAAATTAAGGTCCCTAATTTGCAACATTCAACTAATTCAGCTTGGCAAAGTTTGTATTTCTATTTAAACACCCCAGCACTTAAAGCTACTTAGACCCACCCCTAGCATTTATTCAAAAAACTAATTAGAAGGATGTGTCAGTTTTAACTTGCCTGTTAACAAAACCTTTTGCATAAAAAGGAAGAAAACATGCAGCAAGCACGTGAAGAAGAAGAGAGACGTAAAGAAGCAACTGCACATTTCCAGATTACGCTGAATGAAATTCAGGCTCAGCTGGAACAGCATGATATACACAATGCCAAGCTCCGCCAAGAAAATATTGAACTGGGGGAAAAACTGAAGAAACTCATTGAACAGTATGCATTGCGGGAGGAGGTAATTAAGCAATGATTCTGCACACACTTAATTAGCTCCCTTAACTCATTTAAATGGCGCTTTTTAAAAAAATCAGTAATGATGTGTTAATATTATCTTTACTGTTACATAGGTAGATGTAATTCGTACATGTCATTACAAACCACTTTTTTTTCAGTATCAGCCTTCCTAATAAAAAAACGCATGGCTGTTTAGCCCAGAATATCTTCTTTCAATTCCCATGCCATTTTCTTAGGATCTCCTGGATCTTTAGTAAAGCCCAAAGGATTCATGTTTTGTTTTGTTTTTTCAGAGATGTTCTCTACCTTGACACATCATTATCAACTGCACTAAAATGTTACATTGGATCAAATGTATAGGTGGGAGAGTTGTTGAACAAATTTTCAGACATGAAGTGCCCTTCCTCAGGTCACTTAAGGTTTTAAAGTGTATTTGAGTCCTATTTCATGTTGTTCTCAATTGTGAGGGCTACAAACTTTTTTCAGATTGAAAACTCAGATTCTTCTGTAATCACTTGACTGTTTTTTAAGCTCTGGCTTCTAGAGCAGTGCTTCTCAAAGTGGTGGTCCGCGAACCGGTCGCCAGTCCACAGCGAGTTGCCAGAAAAGAAAGTAATATATTTTCAGAAGCATAACATTGATATGGCATAGCGCCACAGTTCGTACGTTTTAACACTCCAGGTGATGTCACATCCTGCGAGGTGAGGAAAGAGAAAGAAACAGCCGGTCGTGCGTTTGTATAGTGCTGTTACGTGCAGTTGCTGCCACCGGCTGAACCGGGCGCCGGTCCCGGGCCCACTGGAAAAAAATTGCTGGTCCGCTACATCAGATAGTTTGAGAAGCATTGCTCTAGAGTCAAGTATTAAAAGCCTTACAAAATTATAACGTTTGGCATGCCCATGTTTGTTTCTCAGAAGCACATAAAGCAAGAGTGAAATAAAATCTAAAGTCAGAGGCTGTATTTCTGAGTAGAGTCCATGAGGCCTTAGATATCACATGGCTTTGTCTCTTGACATAAGGATTATTGAAACATATGATGCAGAGGCAGCAGGAACTTCGTGCCCATTTTACAAATTATGATTGTAACTAATGCCCCTAAATAAAGGGTGATCCCTGAAGTCCTAAGCCTAATGGAAAGAAACAGCGTGAAAATAAAACATGAGTGTAAACAGCCACAGTCCACATAAAAAATTAAAAAAAAAATCTCGAAGGATAATACCTAGATAATTAAACAAACAGTAGCTTTTTAGTGGAAATAAATTATGGAGGATCCATTGCAAACTAATATTAGTTTTCACGTTTTCCTTAGCATATTGACAAAGTGTTCAAGCATAAAGAATTGCAGCAACAACTAGTAGATGCCAAACTTCAGCAAACCACACAGCTTATAAAAGAAGCTGAGGAAAAACATCAGCGCGAGAGAGAATTTGTGAGTTGCTTATAACATAATAAAATCTGTATATTGAGTGAATTGAAACCGTTAACCAGAGAGGATAACTGAATGGGACGACACATTCAAGGATGAATTAGTTTTTCTGTAAGACCGTGATTCTCAACCTTTCTGATTTGGGGCACCCCTGAGAAAATGCCAGCTCTTGGCCTTCACTTATTTTTAGATTATGGAAAAATAAAGCTATTCTTCTTTTACAAAGAACTTGGAGCACAACAGGTCAGAATGTTTTTGACATGGTATTCCTACTGGAGATCTCTGGGTTTCCCTTGTGAATCCATGTAGGTGTTTGCGTATCTAATTGTGCTAATATCATGCAGATCCTTTAAAGGATCTGGTTGAGAAACAATGCTAGAAGATGTTAAGATCTAGATTGTTTAACAAAAAAATGTCTGAATTTGTACGCACAATACAAGAGGTAGTTAGCTGTGTTAGTCTGAAGTTAGGCAGAGGACGGCAGAGTGGCACCTTAGACTAGTGATGGCATGGAGTGGCAACAGAACACTGCAGAGAGAGGCATTGCTGGCAAGAGCCAGTTTAACCCTTCCCTGGCCCTGCAATTGATACAGTTTTATATGGCAAATATTTCATAGACAATAGGGCTGGAAGGGACCTCGTGAGATCATCAGGTCCAGCCCCTTTCCCAAAGGGCAGGAAATCTGCTGGGGTCAGGTGACCCCAGCAAGGTGAGCATCCAGGTGTTTCTTGAATGTATCCAGAGTAGATGCTCGCACCACTTCTGGAGGGGAGTCTATTCCAGACTCTGGAGACGAGGAAAAACTTCTTTACTGTCTGTATGTCAAGTCTAAAACGGTCTTCCAGCACTTTGTGACAATTAGACCTTGGCTTCCTTTGCAGTTCCCTGGTGAACAGATGTTCTCCCAGTTCCTGATGCATACCCCTTATAGGCTGCGAAATCCAAAGCACTGAATTTGGTGAGGAAATGGTTGACTTGGCTTGTGGTAGACACCTAACCCAACCTCTCCCAGCAGTGTTCTGGCCCTTTTCCAATCGGTGCCAGAGGCTGGAGGTCCTCCCCCCACCCCAGTCCCTTCCCCAAACACATCTCCATTCCACCACCTCCCTCACAGGCCTCATTTGGTATGGTCCCCCTTTATAACGAAAGCTAGGTTGAAGTCAGGCAGAAGGCTGAGTGGAGATGCACCTTGTAGACTAACCCAATCGGGGATGATAAGCTTTTGTGAGCCCAAGCTTGCTTCATCAGATACTGTAAAGGGGCATGCACAGAACAGCCTGTCAAATGGTGGCTTGAATTCAAGAGATGGGCATGGGAGGGGGAGCACTGCTGAGAGACACAAGCAAGTAATAAGCCCATAGGGACAAAATGGGGTCAACCAACCTAATCAGTTTTGCTTCTGTGGAGGGGTGATGCCCCCACAGCAGGTTCTATATAGACTGAAGCTTTTACTACAGGAAAAGCTTATCTTCCAGTCTGAGCAGGTGTCTTCCAGGGATAGAACCTGGCTGTAGACATTACGGAATTGGCCCAAACCTCGCTTAAAGTCAGTTATAGTCATTATATAGATTTCAGCCAATTTTGGAACAGACCCCAAACCTTTCATCCACCCACAAGGTAATTAATAGCTTTTGTTTCCAAGTTGAGCAAAATCTTACAAGATTTTCTATTTGTACTTGTCTAAACAATTATGGGTTATTTAAAAAAAAAAAAAAGCCCAAAAAACTGAAGTTTTTTTTAAAAGACAGGCATTTATTTGCATACTAAGGTAACAATCACCAGAGTATTAGATGTATTCCCTTCATCCTTGTTATGAGACGACACTTGCCAAAAACCGGTGCCAATTTGAAAGCAGCTGTGAAAGGGTTAATACTAGATGCATCCCTTCCTGCTTGCTGGCAGGGAGAGAGGAACTCAGTCATCTTGTAATAGTGTCTTCACAAAAAAAAGGCATCTCTGGCCAGGACTAGAAAAAAATCTTTTTTTTCCCCCACATTCTGTCTTTCAAAAAAAGGAAGGTCATGTGACAGGCAAGTAAATATGGTGATTTCAGGAAAACAAGTGCTGTTGTGTGACTTTTTTTTCTTTTCCATGGTAGGGACCAAATAAAATATTTAAGGCCTTTTAACAATCCTTTCTAAGCATGTCCTGTAATTTTAGAAGACAGAACACTAAAAACAGGATATGTAGCTCTTTTGAAGCTTTTGTGGAATCACTGTAGATTTTTTTTTTTTTTTTTTTTTTATAGTATTTAAGCTGATGGTGGTGATGTACAGAAGAGGTTTTTTTCCCTTTGATCTACTGAATGTTCTATAAGACCAAATCTTCCAGTTTTCCAAAAACTTGAGTGTGCTGGTAATTCCTACATCTTAAATGAAACGGAAACTAGAGTTTTAGAGAATTTGGCTAAACTTTTGTGCAAGCTGACAAACTTGGCTCCTTTAAATAGAGAGAGTGCATTGATGTCAGGCTAACATTTTGCACATAGCAATTACTACTGCTGCTGGGATACTTTTTTTCATTTGAGACCATTATTGAAAATGGCCAATTCAGTCTCTGTATATAAGCATCAGTGAGGAGAGAAAGTAAGATGTACGTTTTTTGGCAGTTGGGCATGCATGCTTCTTGAGTTTTTGCCTATTTGGATGTTGTTAACATTAAAGTTTACTAGCAAAGTTCAATTTTGATTGCATTTTATACCTATTATATGAGATTTTTCCAGAGACAAAATGCAATAATAAATAATTGCAATATGCTACTGTGGGCATCTAAAATATTAATTTGGAGTGCGTAGGAAAACTCAACTGCTCTTAAATTGCTCTAGTAAGCTGGCATAATTCAGGCCATCAATTTTGTTGTTTAACTTTTTTAAGTATTTAAAGTGAAAGTAGCTAAGAGCATGTTTTTTCATGGTAAATCACTTTTTTTTTATGCTAAGTTATACTGAACAATGCTGTCCTTAAAAATTTGCATGTGAATATATTCAACAATAATACAGTTCAAGTTTTCCTCAACTTTTCAGCTTTTAAAAGAAGCTACTGAGTCCAGGCATAAATGTGAGCAGATGAAGCAGCAGGAAGCCCAGCTCAAACAGCAGGTAACTTTAAAATATTGTGTTTTTCAGTATGGATGTTTTATACCACAAGTATCAAGAGGGGTCTGCCAGAAATCTGAAAGTGGATGCTGTACTAAAAAGCTGGAAATTAAACCACTGTCATTGGAAACATTCCATTTGTTTGAAATTTACTAAATAGCATTTTTTCCTGTGGGCAGTTTGTTTAGCAGTTTTATACCTTATGATGAACCACTTTTAATGGCAAGATTGTGTGAAAGTCTAAGGACGTGTGATTCAATCTATGGTCTCTATCCGCCTGTTACATAACATATTTTGTTTTTCTTGAAGTTGAGTCTCTCCTCCTCAAGATGTTACTTCCCTTTTTCTGTTTAGGATCATGCAGCCCTTTCCTGACTATAATATAAGCAGGGTCCCTTTTTCCATGATGATTTTGCTGCCTAATCTTACTGTTTTTGTCTACAGGGAGATGGGAGGGTACAGGTTTCCCTCACTTTATCCAGGCTCTGTATGTGCAAACTTGCTCTTATGCGATGACCCTTTTTATACCCAAAAATCATTATACATGAGGTAAATTCACTCTGTGATCAATGTGGTGGAAGCCCGCAGTCAGCTGCTTTGTGCGGTGCATTGTGGGAGTGACGTGCACCAAAATATAGTCTCCTGTGTGGATCTGTGCTCCTCACTCGTTGTCTGCGACACGTGTTTCTGTAGTTGCCATCCCCATTATGGCTTCTAAGCGTCCCGCTAGCTTATCTCCTACCCCTCTCTACTGTTGTTGAGTACCAAAATTGTCTTGTAAAAGTAGTAGAAATGGGTTGGTGGTCAGTACAGTTGAGGTCTTGGAATGTATCCCTATTTGTTACATTGTAAAGTGGGTTCCCTTTACGTGAGTTCAAGTTATGCACCGTTTTCCAGGAACACAAGTACAGCATAAAGTAAGGGAAACCTGTCCTCGACAGTGTCAGCCAAGATATTATAGTTGAAGTTGCTGATGCTTGCAGTTACCCATGCCCTCTAACCTGGATTTCAGGTGGATTCCTCCCTCTAGCCTCCTGCATCTAGATCCTGATATTTCTTCCATCAGATATCTGAAACTGGATCTTTTTCTTTGTTCACAATACTTAACAGTATTTCCGGGCCTCTTGCATTGTTGTTAGTGCATCCATATCTAGAAGTCATCTAACTTGCCCTCTCTTCCTCTTGTTGGTGTAAAACATAGTTCCTGAGATTTCCTGAGTCATCTTGCAGTTTTTGGTTTATGCCCCTTTTCACATCTACCTTAACCATTTTTTTCCTCAAAGTAACACACATTAAGCATATATAGTACACATACACAGTCTTCTTCATTCATTGAGAGTTGCTGGGGTTTTCCTAAAGAAGTCCAGCACCTTTCAGAATTATTATTTTCTGCATCTAGAGCTGTGTTTCTCAACTTCTTCAGGTTACTAATCCCTTATTTGAAGTAAAAAATTTTGCCACGCCTTGACACTACCTATAAAGTGAGTAAAAATTGTGTTGGTGATAAACCTTTATTACTGTATACATGTTTCAAGAGGTTGACAGAATATTTTACCTTCAAGGGCAAGGGTGTGTCAAGGTATGGGGGTGCAATTTTAACAAGACAGATATCGCAATCCTTGACTGAGAAACACTGCTCTAGATAAATTCCTGTTTCACCCTTCTGCTAAATTAGAAAGAGTATGGTATGCATTCAGTCACTGTGCACTAAACTGATCATGCAGTCACCTATCTAGGAATTCAGCCTCAGTTGCAACAAATGGATTTGAGTTGGGAGAGATTTTTATCTACTGCTTTGAGGTTTTTCAGATTGTTACAAGTTGCTAATAAAGGTTATGGCACACTTAATGTGCTTCTTTGCCTTTCGCCAATAGCAGTTTCATAAATCATGCACCTCA